ATATGGCAGGTTAGCAAGGCAGCTGGGATGTTGTAAGTACCTAGTAAATGCCAGCTGTGGCTATTCCTTCTAAAGACTGAGTGCTCCATCAGCTCCTTTTTTTTGTACTGGGGATTGTACCCAGGGCCTTGACACTGAGCTGTATCCCCAGCTCTTTTATTTTGAACCAGCATCTTGCTAACAAACCAGCCTGGCCTTGAATTTGAGGTCCTCCTGCCTCAGCTTCCCATAGTGCTGGGATTATAGATGTGCACTGCCATGCTGGCAGTATTTTTATTTTTAAGAACACTAATTGTTGGGGTTGGGGATTTAGCTCAGCGGCACAGCGCTTGCCTGGCAAGCACAAGGTCGTGAGTTCGATTCCTGGTACCGGAAAAAAAACAACAAAACAAAACAAAAGAATACTGTTATTATTCCCTGCATTTTTACCTGGAAAAATGTTTTGCTTGATTCCAGATCCAGAAACTTGGAAGCTGTATTACAGATCCAGGCAATCGAGAGACCTCAGGAAATACCGTGCACACAGTGTTTCACCGTGATAAGACCAAAGATGCACATCCTGAAAGCTGTTGCAGTGCTGAAAAGAATGGGCAGCCACTGCCTTGGTTTGAGCATAGAAAAAGTGTATCCCAGTTTGCAGAACCTACAGAAACATCATTTGGTCCTGATTCTGGAAAAGGTGCCAAGAGCTTAGTTGAACTTCTCGTAAGTAGTCCATAATATCTGTCTGTGGATGCGGTGATAGTATCTTGGGTGGACAGTAGAGAGGAGCTTTTAAGGAATGAAGGCCAGTACTCCGTTATAGTTTGCCGACTTCATTTCTGTTCTTCTGCTCGTGGCTTATGCAGTGACTCCGAAGCACGTTTTCTTGTTTTCAAAGTTAGGCTTATTGAACAAGATAGATACAGAATCGGCCTCCTTGAAGACAGTTATTGAAACAAATTTTGCCCAAGTGGCTGTTTCTGGTATTCACCTTTCCAGACCTGGAAAGCATGCAGAATCTGAACCAAAGCGTGCATTCCCAGTTACTTCCTTTAAGCATCATGTAGGCTAAAAGCATAACAGCTTTTCCAAAGCTTTCATAATTGACACTAGCTCCTGAGGCTTTAAATGAATTATACTGCATTCCAGATGACTCAGTTTATAGTTGTGTGTGGGGCAGGGAAGCAGAAGATCGTTGTTTTTCTCGTAGTACAGCAGTACCTGGGTTCATGAACTTAACACTATGCTTGCACTTTGGTTGTAACCAGAATTGTGGAATAAATTTAGTGACGAGAACAGTGGAAAGAATTAAGTGGATGAATTGAAGTATCATTGTAATTAGGGTCCTGATAGAACCAAAAAAAATTGTTTTTGGTATGTAGTTGTAAATTTAATGGTGATTTTTTTTTTTTTTAAGTTAGCTTTTACTTAATTTGTGGAGGTAAATTTCAACTCAGGTCAGCTAGCTTTAAGGCTGGTTATTTAAAATTTAGTAACTAAGCTGGGAGTGGTGGTGCACACCTATAATCACAGCACTTGGCAGGAAGATCACTCAATTCAAGGCCAGCCTGGGCTACATAGTCCAAATCCAATCTGAACTATATATTGAGACTCTGCCTCAAAAAATAAAAAAAAACAAAAAAAAAAGTCCTTAAAATGTAACTACTTGTCACCATTTCTAGTCACTTTTTAAAGGCAGAGAATAAACTCTGAGACATGTGAAATAAATTGTAAATTCAAGCTTTCAAACTAAGTGGAGTAGGATTTTATTTTTCTTTGTTACTAAGATAAAGCGACATGCTGATTCTGTAAACACTCATTTATATGACTGAATTGAAATTAAAGATATAGGCTGTTTTAATTTTTGCTGTCCTCTTACGAGCATAGCATTTTGCATTCTTAAAGTCATAGTCTTAACTACTCCTTTAATTTGCAGGATGAGTCTGAATGTACTTCAGATGAGGAAATCTTTATCTCACAAGATGAAATACAGTCCTTCATGGCTAATAACCAGTCTTTCTACAGCAATAGAGAACAATACCGACAGCATCTGAAGGAGAAATTTAATAAATACTGCCGCTTAAATGACCACAAGAGGCCCATTTGTAGTGGCTGGTTGACAACAGCTGGAGCAAATTAAATAAAGTAGCTCTGTCTTTCAATGAAACACTCAAGATGACTACTGCGCCTTCTCTTTCAAAAAACTTAAATTTAGTGACTTATGGCAAAATTTTATCTTAAATCAATGTGATTCTTTCTTGTTTTGGGAGATGGTGGAGGTAACTTCATTAGTTTGTTCTTTCTTCAGGCTTGTGTCTTTAGTTGCGTGGCTGCACAGGCCTGCCATATGATTTAAGCCATCTCTTTTCATTAAATGTTTCTCTTCCTGTGAGACTTACTAAAGCAACTTAGTGGCAAAAAGTAATGTACTTATACTTCTGTACAGAAATGACAATGAGCTGAATATATGGTTTTACAAAGTAGACATCCACTTGCGAAATGTTTGGATGTAATGTTAAAGCGCAATGTGCAAAATTTAAAATAAAGAATATTTATTAATACGCATAGTAGAATTTGGTGTACATGTTTCTACTTAATGTGTGGCAGTACTTTAGTATTTCTCACTTGTACTTAGCCAGTGTTAATGTAGAGGATGAAGAGTAAATGAAAACCAGGCATGATGGTGCACACCTCTAATCCCAGCACTCAGGAGGCTGAGGCAGGAGGATCACTGCGAGTTCAAGTCCAGCCTGGGCTACATAATGAGTTCAAGGCCAGTCTGAACTACATAGTATACCCTGCTCAAAAAACTATTTAAACAAAAAAATTAAGTGAAAATAGAGATACAGATTGTTGAAGCCAAAGTCTCCCCTTGATTAAAGTTACATAAGCCTATAAAAGTGGTTTCTAGTCTTAAAGCATAAATTTTATGCAGTACCTTTAAAATACTGACTAGCATCTTACTTCCTCATGACTTTACTGTTACAGTTCCCTTTATCCCAAGATAAGAAAAAACACCTCTTGAACTCAGAGGTTCATCTTGACCTAGATGAGTGAAAACAAAACATGGCAGAATTTCAGCCGAGGATCATGTGCTAAGGAATCGCTCAGCACTTGTGATTGGGGTGAAGAGGCTGCACTGCACACTCACCCCGCTGTGGTGTGTAAAGGCACACCAGCCTTACTGGTTTGCCAGCACTGAAGTTACCATGGCCTCACAGTTCACTGCTGTCACAAACTGAGTCCTAAAGGAGAAAGATTTCCCAAGTGTAGCATTTTGCTGACATTTAAAAGGTCAAGTCACAATAGCTCAATAAACATATACATAGAGCTCTGTCTGCAGACAAGTGGTGAGACAGTCAGTACCTCTGCAGTGGGGATGGTGCCGATTGTAGACTTTCTACCACTTGATCATATTTCTAATCAGATTTCAAGTGTTAACCAACAGAGAACTCTTAGTAAGATTTAATTTTCATAGTTGGTGGTAATTCTTTGATTTACTTCTAATCTTTCCTTTAAAGTGTTGTATAGAAATTGGGGCAGAGATAAAATTAGTAATGATTCTTAGACCCTTGTTTGTTGTCATCAAGTTAATAAAAAATAAAAAATGACCATAGGGCTCCCATACCCCTTGGCTCTGAGGGCAATCTTTCTACCATCCCCTCTCCTCCTGCCCCTTGTGGTGCTAGGGATTGAACCCAGCACTGCTAGTAGGCAAATGCATTACTATTGAGCTAAAACAACCCTTTGGAACGATGGCTGTATTAAGAATCAGAAGTGCCAGACCTGGTGGTGCACTCCTGCAATCCCAGCTACTCCAGAGGTTGAGGTAGGATCACAGGTTTGAAGCCAGCATGGGCAAAACTCAATTTCAGAAAAGGGGTAGGGATGTAGTTCACTGTAAGCTCTGGGTTTAATCCCCAGGACTGAAGTGGGGAAAAACAAAACAGCAGAAGTGAGCCATTTTCAGAACTTTGATGGAGGGGCCGGGCATAAGTGCATGCCTGGCAAGCCTGAAGTCATGAGTTCGATTCCTGGTACCAAAACAAACAAACAGAACTTTGATGGAATAACCCAAGTAGCCAGAGAGCAGAGTGACCTTTACTCTGAACAAAACCAACCATCTCAGGGAACGTGAAATGAAGGCAATTGAAGAGCACATCTGTGGACTAGGCCTAACTCGGTCTATACCATGCTTCTCCCCTTTATCAGTATTCTCATTTTTAAAATGAAGATCCTGAGCTGGGTGTGTATCTCAGCGGTAGAGCACTTGCCCTGGGTTTAAACCCCAACACCTCAGGGGCTGCGGGGGTATAGGATGGTTGTACAGATTAGTGCCTGCTACAGAGTGAGTGCTCAGGAAATTGTAGGCTCTTGCTGTAATCTTGGGCACACTTCCTGATACGTTTGCTACAGTGTGAAGGGGTAGGACCCCTGTAGGGCAGTTTGAGACATTAGGCCCTTTAGGGACAGAATCCCCTCATACTAGTGTTTCTGTCTTAAAGCCAGGAGATTACATAGGGTCAGTAAGAGTCCTTGCCAAGGTCACCCAGCCTTGGTGGAGACACCTGGCCTTTTCCGGACCGAATCCTTCCCATCAGCCACCAGCTGGTTTGAAAGTGACCTTAATTCCTCCTCCTGCGTTTAGGGGTCTGGAGCAGGTAAGAGAGACTGAGCAGGAAGCCTTGAGTGCGCGCGTCCTCGCTCGGGGAAGCCGCGGAGCTGTCAGGCGACC